ACCTAGTAATTTGCTTTGCACCGCTGCTTTCAGCTTAAAGTGTTTAAATTACGTCATAAAGGATATCAAAATGATCAGGGTTCTATGCTCCACTCCGTTATAACACGATTCAGGTCCTTTGAAAACCGGAAAGGAAGTTTTCAATTGGAGTGGAGGGTTTACGATGCTATCATGTCCGCAAGTAACACCCCAGGTGCTGAGAGACTCAATTTTCGGTTTTCCCTGAAGGGAAGGCAAAAAAATCAAAAAAAATCGGAAGGTCATTACATATTTGGTTTCTTCACATGTAGAGCTTTCAGCTGATCATGATTTCAACTTGTTCGAAGCACTTTAACAAAAGTTATGGCGATGCGACGGATTTTTGTTCAACCGACGGTTTGCGACGGATCAATCCGTCGCAAACCGTCGGTTGAACAAAAATTAGGAGCAGTATTGTAATACCGGCGGACTCGCGAAATAAAACTCCAAGGGAAAAATATATGAAGTCAAGTAAAATCATGAGTCAAGAGAAGTCAAGATAGTCATTTTGCGTCGGTGGTAGGAACTCAGGTCGACTACATTTGTGGAATTTCAAAGATGATATGTGCATTTGCTGTGCCATGAGTATTGGCCGAAGATGAAGCGCTCAACTTTATATCGGAGTGCTGCTCCCAGAGTATGGTGCATCAGCCGAATTTGAGCTCTTCAGTCAAAGCGGCAGGCTTGCGATGTGTAGACGGTTACTATGGTCCAGAAACATTTTTCGTGCCTGCTGACCACGTTTATGGAGATATCGGCTCTTGACTGGATTAAGGAAGACGATATTCGTGAGAAACCGTTCAAACGGTTGGCATTGTAAGAACTTGAAGGCACAGTCCAAGATAATTTTGAGACACCATTTTCAATTCAAAAACCGGTGTTGATGCAGAGTAGAGCATCGGTGGCAAAAAAAACTCAAGATTCTGAACTTGAGATATATAATAGAGTCTCTCTGAAAGGGGTGATTGAAACATTAGTGGCGAACAAATCAATTATCAAAGGGGCGCCCGATGGTGCTATAAGTTTTCAAAGACTCTGATCTGCAGTCTGCACAACACCTTGTCCTTCACTAAAGGCCCGAATTACTAGTTACGTTTTCATGCTTTCAATGATGCACAGTACCGATAAATCGAATGCATTCTCTTTGCCAATATGAAACCATTCGTAGGCGCCAAATCCTACAACTAAGTTTTGCGTCCTAAACATATCGTATAAATAAAATTATTGTAATCTTATGACATCGTTTGGACCCTTGCGAAGTAATGGTAAAGTGGAGTAAAGGAGAATTAATTAAAAAAGAGGACCAGCGGAGCAGAGTATCGAAGTTGAAAGCAGAGGTTCAAGAAAAAGTTCAAACTATTACTAACATGAAAATATGAATATGAAGGTGAGTCCCATAAACCTTGTACCTTTCGTCATGGACCCCCAAAGTAAACCGAGAGGAGAATGCAGTCAAAAGAGGGTAAAATAGCTGAAATTATCCTTACTATATATAAAGCGCTCGCGTCTGTCTGCTGTCTGTCTGTCTGTCTGTCTGCCTGTCTGTCTGTCTGTCTGTCTGTTTGTTTGTTTGTTTGTTTGTTTGTTTGTCAGGAAATTCGATATCCTGAAGGAACACTTGGAGAGGAAGGAACACCTGGTCAGGTTTGGAATGAGCCGAGCATAAGACAAGACCAACAGAGCATACGTGAGCTCAGCGGAGCTTCGTCCCCAAGGGGCGAGGCTGGCGCCCGAAATGGGCGGGGCCATGGTCAAATTCCTACCATTCGGTCTCATAACAGTTCAGACGCCGGGAAAAATTGTGCAAAGGTGGGAAATAGGTCAAAAATTTAAGAAAAGGAAAAGGTGGGCGGAGCGTCCTCGCAATGGGCGGTGTCACAGAAAGTCATAATTCGATTCGAAGGCGTCAGTACCAGGAAAAAAATGAAAAGAGTAAGGCCTTATAAGTGCTGGGCATGCGTAAGCTAGCGAAGCCCCGCCCACGACCGGCGGGGCAAGCGTTGAGATGAAAGCTAATTTTCAAAAATGAATGTAAATTAGTTCGAAAACGTTCTAGAATGCGGTAAAAGATTGGATAGAGGTAGTGGAGCAAATGTGACCAAATCCTCGAAGTAGGCGGAGTTAGCACCAAAGTGGGCGGGGCTTAGATCGAAAATTTATAACTCTATTTAGAGACGTTCTGGGATACGGCAAAAAGGTATCAAGGTGTAAAAGAACAAATGTTGTCAGATCCCAGAACGGAGCGGGGTTGGCACTAAAGTGGGCGGTGCTCAGACCAAAAATTCATAACTCTATTCAGAAACGTTCTGGGATGCGGCAAGAAGGTATTAAGGTGTAAAAGAACAGATGTGGTTAGGTCCCAGAACTGGGCGGGATTGGCACTGAAGTGGGCGGGGCTCACATCAAAATTATTAAGTCTTTTCAGTTTTAGAACGCGGGAAAAGGAGTCTGGAGTTAGTAAAAGTAATGCGGTTCGAAGCCCGAAGGGGGTGGGGCTTGCAAAGAGGGGGGCAGGGCTGAGATCAAAAATTTATACATTTGTCCTTCACACTAACCCTGACCACATAGGTGTAGAATTAGAGGATTCTTTCAAAAATTAAACTAAAAATTTTTTAAAAGTTAGTATCTATGGTTCCACATACAATAGTCCCCTCTACGCAAGAGCAAATGCACTACATTAAATTCAGATCTCATAAAATAAATTCTACAGTAACCCCGGTCACACAAGAACATACACCGAAGAGGCGTGTAAATCCCTGCAACCACTCAACCGTACTGTCCTCTCAAAGTTAGTGTTCATGGCCACACACAGCTCCATTTCACAGGAGTACTCTTCTTGACCACACACAGCCCCATTTCACAGGAGTACTCTTCATGACCACACACAGCCCCATTTCACAGGAGCACTCTTCATGACCACACACAGCCCAAACATATTTTTTAATTAAAGGCACCATTCACAAAAAAGTTAGGGTACCCTTTTTTGACGGGAAATCGATAGAACTACTCTAGAATAAAGCGATAACAACGAAAAAAGCGCAAAACACGATGAACAAAAAGAATTACAAAGGGCCAAAAAAGAGCTGGAAAGGGGGTTGGACGAGTTTCACATTGAAAGAACGTCGGTTAGAGAGTGTTCGGGCAAATTGGCAAGTTGCCAGAGACGGCAAATTGGCAAGTTGCCAGAGACGCAATGTGTTGTCTGCAATAGCAGACAACACATTGCGTCTCTGACAATTTGCCAATTTGCAGTTCAGGATGGGTCCTCACGCGATTACATGACACTGTGTCGTCTCGACACTCGTCTAACGTGACATCGGTCGAGGGGCGGAGATGCGAATTACGACAACAACGGGCCCGCCATTATGCCCTGGACGTCGAAATTGCGGGAGTGAGGAGGACCCTTCTACAACCCATGGGGGCCGCTGAGTATTAANAAAAAGTTAGGGTACCCTTTTTTGACGGGAAATCGATAGAACTACTCTAGAATAAAGCGATAACAACGAAAAAAGCGCAAAACACGATGAACAAAAAGAATTACAAAGGGCCAAAAAAGAGCTGGAAAGGGGGTTGGACGAGTTTCACATTGAAAGAACGTCGGTTAGAGAGTGTTCGGGCAAATTGGCAAGTTGCCAGAGACGGCAAATTGGCAAGTTGCCAGAGACGCAATGTGTTGTCTGCAATAGCAGACAACACATTGCGTCTCTGACAATTTGCCAATTTGCAGTTCAGGATGGGTCCTCACGCGATTACATGACACTGTGTCGTCTCGACACTCGTCTAACGTGACATCGGTCGAGGGGCGGAGATGCGAATTACGACAACAACGGGCCCGCCATTATGCCCTGGACGTCGAAATTGCGGGAGTGAGGAGGACCCTTCTACAACCCATGGGGGCCGCTGAGTATTAATAAGGTAAGAACTCAATAACTTTTTTGTCGTGAACGGTGCCTTTAAGATGAGAAAAGGTTGAAGTCCCTGCTTGATTAATCTCCGTCGTCCTTGCTGAAGAGTAATGTGTATTCAGAAGTGTTGATTTGATAAATTACATGTTCCAAAATCAAGTGTTATGTAGGCCATGCCAATACTCCAGCCGAGCTAGACAAACTTTTCTATTACACATGGCCGCTACAGAAGTGTCAGGGAAGATCCTCAGATGGTGGAGGTCTATAATGAAAATCACAAGCTCATGTGGATCTGTCCCTTATGGCTAGAGCCCCCAGCGCACGCGATAGCGTGCGTGGCCGCTTGGTAACAATAAAACAAGGCCTAACATAATGTTAGGCGAAGGAATTGTGCAATGTGCTTCGATAGCAATTTCTATGATCTTCAAATCTTAACGCATATTTGTGAACTATACTTTTATTCACAACACAAACAAAAACATACCATGAAATAACAGGACAACCTTTCTAATAAACAAATACCACTTGTAAATGAGACTTTTTTTGGAGGTTTTGTTGATTTTCCAACACATTAAAAACAAGAGCACCAGCTCGTTGACGAATCGTTCACCATTCTTCCGATTTTCGTATCGGAACTACAACGCTAACATGAATATGGAGAAGAATTCCCCAACTGAACAACAAGCATACAAGATTTGAGAAGCAAGCCGACGTAAAACCGTTAGTAAAATGTAGAGGTATACTTTTTGGTGTCTTTCAAAGTCGTTTTCGATCAATCGACATCCCGACCAGAGGAGTTTTCCGATCACTTTGGCCATTTGAACGCGTTAGCCTTACATTGTAAAAAAAAACATAGCCAGAGCGGGCGCGACGTTCCTCATAACCCAATTCAAGGGCACCACCCAGGTTAGTATGAGGGCAGCAGAAAAGGACTATGTTTTGGAACGTGCGCTAATTGAGCAAGCCAGCGTCGAGAAATCGAATGGTCGATGGTGACAGGGCGACACTTCCTGAATTTTCAAGCATTGTGCACAACTGAATTGGGCAGCAGCCTTCCCTTTGAGTGTGACATACGATTTAATGATCCTGAGAGTGTTGATCTTTCTTGCTAACGCCACTGCGTGGTGTTTCGTTTGAAATGCGGTTCTGCAAAAAAAAAAAACTGAATATGCATGCATCGTACTACGTGGTGCATTAGATGCTAATAAGAAGGCAGACTTACTCTAATCATTTTTTCCAAATCAAGGTAGGGCCGCCAACTGTTACACCGATTCCTTTTAGCAGCAGGGCAAGGGACCTCGCTATTGCTAGCAGAAGAAACTGTTTTATTTGACGCACAGGCGTTGCTTCTGCTCGAATACGGCTTGTTGATAAGTAGGCGGACCGGCGCACGTCTTGCCGCCACAATTATATCTCTTGGCGAATCTTAAACAGAGTGGCTTTTTGGAATACGGCGGAACGAAGTACTCTGGGAGCTACAAAAACACCAACATGTTCACAAGGAACAATGAGCTTACCGTTATTGCGCCTCAGGCGGCTGGCAACTGGCTCACTCTCGGTTTTTTCAGTCATACTATAGCGGCGTTTTTCTGCGATTCCGCAAACATTTATGAGCGGGAACTCACACTGCTCCTAAATAAATGAAAGATATCAAGAGTACAGAATCTACAGAGCAGACACCTGAAAAACTCGCTGTTCCGCTCACTCGTTTGTCATTGAATACTGCACTTATTTTACCAAACGAATTAGTAATCAATGAGGGAAGTTAAACACATTTAGTAGGGTCTGGATTCATGACGAGCAGACCAAGTTATGAAACACATTTGAGAACATTGACTGAAGCACTGTATGGAACGTACTGAGGCTCAATTTTCAACTTCGTTTTGCCCCTAAGACAGACAGAGCCCAGAGCTCCATAACTCTGCCCATAATCAGTGCCTACCTGTCCCGACACCACATTTCTACCACACAATCTCAACTAGAACTGCGAAAATCAGTCAACAAAGTGCAATCTATCGGAACACCTGTTGTAACGGAAATTTCATTCCACCGAGAAACTGAAATAGATAGCATTGGAAATTACAGTGCTAAAATACGACGAACCTTTGGATATTTCATCGAGCTGAATGCACCACCATGCATACGACGTCGTCTGAAACTTCGATCATTGAATAAAGAAGCCAAGTCAAGGCTAGCAGTGGAAAACTTGTATGAAATAACATGAGAAAGAGCTCTGCGCGAAGAGCAGATGAATTTCTTCATAACTGGTTTGTTGAACCATTGTAAAAGATTGTTGCTCAAAAGATCAAAGCTTTTAAACTTCGTAAGACTCAAAACACAACAAAGATTGCTACCTGAGTCATATGCTTTAAAATGGAACTCTCATTTCAATCATGATTTCAATCATTTCAATCAATATTCTAGGGACCTTCCTTGTGGAGTGCGTGCAGTCGTAAGACCCTTTTAAAAAAATCCCATCTCCTTACATCTGTGCTTAGGGAACATAAGTCAAAATGGAAGCTCCTGAAACGATTTTGTCTTCGTATACGTTTTCCTTTCACTAACCCGCTACATGTTTCTGCGTTAACCTTCCCGCATGTGGCATTAGCCAGTTTTATGAAACGACAGAAGGCAAAGGCACAGAATGTTTGCCACTCTTGCAACAATGTTTACGGCGGATTTTCAGAACGAAAAATAAGAAGATCTAAGGAAAACTGCTTAAGTTGACCGAAAAACCTAAGCAGCACACTTGAAGAGCAGCTTACCTAAATATAATTGGGAACTATGCACTGAGTGGACACATACTGCATAACCGAAAAGAGCAGCGATGAGGAGCCAAAGTGGGGGTTAGGGACAGTATCTATGCCGTACGCTTTTTTGGAGCTAATAACCAGTCTGCCTCCCATATTGCTGAGCCGCAGAGACAGGCTTTTTGGGTGTTTTACCCAAACGAGCGGCCAGTAGGGCTCAAGGAGCCTCAAATATGCTTATGTGGATATCGAAATCATATCTAACCAGCCGAAGGATTCGAATTGATGGATTACTTTCGAATTCTTCGGAAGTATGAAAGTATAAATTTGTTCAGAAACGTTCTGAAACGCGAGAAAGTGGTTGGTTAGAGGTAAGCGAAGGTGTCATCAAGCCCCCATGAATCTGGTCAAGAGCGTTCTAGAATCCGAAAACAAGTCCTTTGGGCTATTGAAGGAAGGATGGATAAAATTCCAAAAATCACTGTGATGGGCGGAGCCAGGGTTGAAAGTTTACAGTTTGGTCGAATACGTCCATAACTGTTCAAACCGTTCTACGTATAAAAGTCTCATCATTACTTGCTACCTGAGACCATCATCATTGTTTACTATATGCAATGAATTCGCTTCTACTTATCACTCCCGAAATTCGGTATTACCCGAACAGGTTGGTCGAGCTTGGGATAGTCAAAGCCTCGGGCAAGATCGTTTTTTGCTATAAAGAGCCCAGACACGAGGAAAATGGGTAGAGTTAAGAATAGGGTCAACAAATCAGACGAAGGAGACTCGTCCGCACTGAGCTGAGCGTTTTCGAACTTTTTGCATGAACTCCTAACCCACCAGCCTGTAGACAGATTCTTCAGGGGTGGAGCTCAATCAAAAAACTCATCTCAGTTTGATGCATTTTTTATTGTTACGCGCGCGTCAGTATGCGGAGCTCAAATGGTAGCCTATATTGACCACGTTTCGAACGCATGTACTACACTAACAAAAGAATGTAGACGCATGCAACCCAGTGCATTATGTAACATCATGCTATAGTGGAACACAATTTCTTATGAAATGAACGAACATCAAAAAAGCCAATTGAGAACATTCCAAAACATGGCACTTAATTTTTTTCTCCGAATAACGGAATTAATGCAATCATAGACCACAGAAAAGAAAGGAACTCACGGTTTTGGAGTGGGACAACCATCGTCGTCAGAGGTCAAATCCCCTTCACCCGTCAGAATGCCAGACTCGTGACCAAAGCTGTCCCAACTGAAATGCCACTTTTATGAAGAGGATGCAAAAAAAGTTCAAGTAAGGAACAGTAACCATAAATGCGAAATGCAGCACAAGAAACTTTGGGAAACCCGCCTTCAAAAATGTCTATTCATTCAGCAGAAATCCAGGAATCTAGCCCTGCTCACAAAACTGGTCACTGATTTCAGCCAATATATGTTCTTTTGATGGATTGATGGACTACGAAACACTTCAGCTTATACTTTCAGAAAGGTCCCGAGACTCGTTAGAACGCTCTAGGCCAAGGGGACAGAAGTTGTGAATTTCCGGTCAAACACACACACACCAACATACACACAGCGGCAAACCACTGGCAAACGTAAACTTTGCGCACGTTTGTGAGTTTTATGAGAAGAGACTGGACCGTTGCCAAACTTTTCCGCAAGATCGACATCTCCACTGAGAACCTAGGCAGACTGATGTCCCAAAAATTGAGGAAAATAGTGGTGTGCGTACGGATATTTCACTTTCTCACAGAAGCAGACCGAAGTGACGCCTACGCTCACGACCTTCTCTACTAACGGAGTCGCCCGCCATTTTTCAAAACGGCTATGGATTACGATACATGGGACACGAGGCCCAGCATTCCTTGCTCCAGGGACACGAGGCCCAGCATTCCTTTCGTTCAGTGAAATCTGAGCTTGTTGGATGGCGTGTTGGCGGCCACACTGGTGTTCGCTTGACGTGCTGAGGAATCCAGTCAGTAAGCACCCTGGTGCGCGGTCATCACTAATCGCATAACCTGTCCGACCCAAACGATCATTGATTCCTTGGCGTAAACATCAGTTTTTCCCTTGTGCACTTGCTTGTGAGAGAAATTCGGAGCATCACCCTTTCAAAGCGCGTTGAGTAACCCTGCCAGCATGCTCATCCTGCTCTCGTGGAGTCCACGTCTCGGAGGCGTGCGTCAAGGCCGGAAGGACAGCAGTGTCGAAAAGGTGAGCGCGGAGCCGGATGCTCTTTGGCTTCTTCACTACTCCCTAGATAATCTTGAGTGCTTTCCACGCGGCGCGTTTCCTTCTGCTCAACTACGGAGCTCGGTCGTTCATCATGTTGACTCGTCGACCTAGATACACATAGCTAGAGCATTCGGACATATTCGTTCCGCTTGGCGTGAAGGGAGCATCAGGTACCAATCCGCTTTCCATGAACATTGTCTCCGTTAAGTTCAGTCTCAACCGATATTTCCACAAGCATTGTCAAAATCGGCCAGCATTCGTTCCGCCTGCTCGATGTTCGGCGTTATGAGCAGATGCCATCTGCAAAGCGGAGATGATGTAAGTAGCGGCCGTCAACCTTCATTCCCATGCCTTCACTCCATATGAAGCATGGAGTTTTCTTGAGCGGCGCTGAAAAGTTTGGGCGAGTTGTAGTCGTCCTGTCGAACCCCTCAACTCACGTTGATGATGACTCATTTATAGAAAGGCGAGATCCCGGTAGTGAAGTTGCTGTGGAGATAACGAAGCATCCTTATATGTTGAATAGGAACACCCTGGTTGCCCAGGGCTTCAATTGCCGCTTTTGTCTCAAGTGTATCGAAAGCTTTCTTCAAAGGCTTCAAGGGCAAACATCCAATTCGATTGGTACGAAAGCTTCACAACCTGAATCGGACGTTTACGATTAAGAAGATGTGGCACAACTGCAATTCCAACCATCTTCGTTGCCTACGCACCAAGATCAAGCTACGAGGAAGAGAAGTTGGAAGCGTTTTATATGAATCTGAAGAGACTTTGAACAGAGAACCATACTTTCTTGAAGGTCATCGTCGCTGATTTCAACGCCAAGATTGCCTCCAGAAGAATGGCTGAAGAGCTCCACATTGACTCACGGGATGGAATGGAATAAGCAGGGTGAAAGTTGTCCGAGTTCATCATGTCGACCCACACCACCATCCATAGCAACTCGCAGTTCTAAAAGCCCTCTGTGTCACGAGTCTCAAGGCGATACAGATTGCATATTCCAGAGACCACACGTTCAGCACGCAATCAGCTGATCGCCGAGTTTTTCTCGTTCTCTATTATTCTCTCCTATACTTTTTACTTTCTACTGTGCGATCCTTTATTTGATTCTCTACCGCAAGAGGCTGAAAAAGAGGGGCCAATTTTGCTGTTACTAGCGTTTTTGTTAACTTAACTAACTATTTGCACCAGTACCGCACGAACACAATGACACTCGGCACTCCTCCTTCATTTTTATGGTCTCCTTCCTGTCCAGCTCCTTTTTTGCGATTTTTTTCGAAGCCTTTTATCCCATTAAAGACGCCGATTCGCGCACTTCTTCGCCTTCATCACACTATTTTCCAATTATCTTCCATATTTTTCGTCATAATTTGGATTTCCCAAAATTATCGTGAACTGTGCCTTTCATCGGAGGTTTTGCATGACTGATCCCGTGTTGTTCCGAAGCTCTACACAGGATCAGACCATCGTCTCCTCCGCGCTAGATTCTACTTCCCAGTGCGTGGAGAGAGCTATGAAGTTTAGGAAACGAAGCTCAAAAACCCCATCAGCTGGGACCACTACGCATCCCTGGAGAGTGAATGGAAAGATTCCGTTATCGACAACATCTATGAAGAATACAACCGGCTCGTCGAGCATACACACCATAGTGCTAAAAAAGCAGAGAATCCTACTATGTAAAACGCGCTAATTTGTGTGACTGTTGTGTGTTTGCGTGTGTACCCCACGAGGAACTCATAATCCCCGTCCTCGTGGACCTAGATTCCTATGCTCTTGGAACAGAGCTTTCAAATACAATAGTGCAGGTGACGATCCGACTATTAAATACAAAGTACCAGTCGCATCGCCTTGTTTGTGCTAAACTGTCCTCTTTTTTGTGTCAAGATTGTGTCAACGATTTCACAAATTTTGTAGAAAAAAATGTCGTATTGTTGGTGAAAAGAGTGGGTTCGTTACTGCGTATTTGTAACAGGAAGAACGGAATGTCGACTAAGCAGAACAATCCAAATGAAATATTATGAGGAAGTTACAGCAAATAACGGGTCTTCCCGTACACTCACTCTGTAACTAGCTCTATAATAGCAACGCGCGTAATAGAAAGCTATGGACAATTCAAAATAACCCTACATCCTCACAAGGTTGGCGATTCATGAACAAAAGTTCAGTCTCGGATGGGACTCGAAACCGTACTTGCTCCTTCCGGGAACCGTGCTTTATCCCTTACACTACCGAGACCCCGCTTGCCCTCGCCTTCTTAATGGCTTACATGCCACAGCTTATCAGCACTCACACGTACAACGTGTTGAGGGGTATGTGGACTTACGTGCGCCCGAGGATGCGCGCAGCGAATTGTGCGGCGAAGTTCGTAACGATTTGAGCCACTTCAGCGCCTATCATTGGGGCCAAAATTTGAAGTAAAGTAGATTGGGAGGATCATCTGACCCTACTAACCTACTATACTTCGAGTTTGTGCCCCGAAAATTGGCGTCTGAGTCGTACAAATCGTCACGAACTTCGCCACCAATTTGCCGCACGCGTCCTCGGACGCCCATAGTGCACGTCCCTCGGTTGAACCGGTCGGCCAATATCAGCCAATATAAGCTATAACTGTTAGCTATAATATAAGCAACTAAGCTAGAACTTGTTTTGACTTGATGTTTTGTTAACTACTGTTATTTCGCCGCAGTACGCGATTCGAAAGCCTCACAAGGTTGGGATTCATGGACAAAACGTCAGTCTCAATCATGGACAAAACTTCAGGACGGGACTCGAACCCGTAGTTGTTCTTTCCGAGCACCGTGCTCCATCCCTTACACTACCGAGACCCCGCTTGCCATTGCCTATATCCTACTAGTATTTTTTTTGCAATAAAACAGTCGCGCTAAAACAGTACAACTTTAGCACAGTGTTGGGTGTGTGATGAGAGATTGATGCGATGCCGTAGAAGTATGGTCACACAAACTTATAGCAACGAGCTACAGAAACCAAAAACCGTTGATCCGTCATTGGTTTCTGCAGCTCCACATAGGTTGCTTTTGTATTAACGGTAGAGCCTTGCAATTTCAGCACGATTTGAGATAAGAGGGGATTGTAGATTATTGGTGATTATAATAACAACAATATTTATAGCAACCTATGAAGATCAACACCAAATTCGGACGCGATTCATTTATGCGACTGCCCTCCTGCAACAAGGATTATACGACCACCATTAACTGCAAAACTTTAGGAATGAACTAACATCGCTGAAGGCGGTATAGATCATGGCAGCCGTTACTTTAACGGGGTTAGTGCTGTTATCATTGGACGATAACGCGTAGGTATTATTCAATTGCACATTCAATCAAAGCCTTTCTCCTAAGTTTATGATGTCGGTTGCTTCTGTGGTGCGTGCTTACAGTTTCCTGCTGTTCTCAGTCACAGTGAGGCATACAAGACGCTGGAATTCATGAGCGCTAGTTTTTATAGTACATCCAAGGATCGAATGGTGGTGTCTTGAAATTCATTTTATGCTTGAATGAGTCACGGACAAAAGACCCTTTCCTGCAAGATGTCCTTTATCAATTTGCGACCTCCATTGCATTTCGATAGCAACCCAATCAACAAATATTGGAACAGAGCCAAACAATGGCGGTACCTCTCAGTATCAATGTCGCTGGCGAGAGGTGGAGAACTTGAGAGGGCTGGAGGACTGCCGGAAAGAAACGCTTCCACATTGTTCACACAGAGCTTGTCTGTAATGACACCTTCACTTTCGTTCAGTTCATCTGAGCTCCAAAGTAATAAAGCAAGTTCCTCAACAGTATGAAAAGAAGTAAGTCTGAAACTATTGAACAAGTTTACAACAAATCATTGTTTGCCATTGAACGGGAACTAAAACGAACTTACTCTGAGCGATTTCTTCCAGCTCGTCTTCGTCCGATTCCGTACCCGAATCACGTATTGATTCCTTAACTAACGAAGCATTAGAAAAAAAATAGCTACGGAAACTTGTCTTAAATTTCTCAAGTCTGTACAACTGTAAGCACATTCACACTGTAACTGTAAGCTTAATGGTACTCAACACTATATGTATATCCAGGAGCTTGAAGCATAACTATGCGAAGACGTCCCGCCAGTTCGATGTGTAGGTTGCTATGTTACCGTTCCACCTATTGTGTACATAGAACTCAAGTCATAGAAGGTGTGAATTTGAAAAGAAAAGAGCTAAAAACCACCGAGGTGCTCATAAAGGGAGTACTTTGGTAATCAAAATCAAAATATACCATAAGTTTGTTATAGTTCACTTATGAAGCAATGCCAATCAAGGTTGCTGATGAAACGTGGAAGAGCTTTAAACTTTTGCTGAGATATTATGTTTATATCCTAATCCTCGCCCTCGACTCATTCAAAAAGTCGAGAATGAATGGTTTCGATTTTTTGTCGTTTTGTGTACTTTTCGAAGCTCTATGCTCATCACTTTTATTGGTGAGCTTTCGGCATATAATGCCTTCGTCAGACCTTAATTACTTACAATATATTGCTGCATACAATCAGTTACTATCAGTTACAAAACAAAACACATCGAATCATACCAAGTCAACCGAAATATTGGGGGAAAAGGGGGGATGGACCTGTCGGCGGGGATCTTGGAGGGAAAATGGATGCCGCTCTTGTTCTGAGGTGACTGTGTGTTATCACGTAACCAGTCGGGCCGCCCGGCTAACGCCAGGCTTCCCTCCTTCTTATGGTGTCGCCCGGCTTCGCCGGGCGCTCCTCCTTCTTGTAAGAAAATTGCTTTCCATGAAAGCTCTACACTTCCAGCATTAGCTCCGAATCGGCAGCGATTCTTTCTGTATTATAATTGATTGTATAGTAAAGAGAAGTCTCGATTCATTGCTCTTCATCTCGAAATTGTGTCACATTGATGACTTAAAGGCACTGTTAACAAAAAAGTAAGGGTACCCTTTTTTTGACGGTAATAGGTAGAACTACTTCAGAATAAAGCGATAACAACGAAAAAGCGCAAAAAAAAAGAGCAACAAAAAGTATTACAAAGGGACAAAAAAAGTACTAGAAAGTGGGGTTGGACATCTTTCACATTGGAAAACGGCGGTTAGGGAGTGTTCGAGCGAGAATGCACGAAGGCGACGCAG